GTTCCAAATCCAGCGAGCGAAGCGAGCTTAAAGCGAAAATTCACACAATTCTAGACTTTAACACAACTTTTGCCATTTTTAGAGCTTAATCACACGCTTTATTGGTGGGCGAAGCGAGCCAAACGGCAAATTAATGCAGGAAAATTAAGAAAACCTGCGAGCGAAGCGAGCAAGAAACCAAAAATCACAGAATTTGCGACTTTGCTATATTTTTCTCTCTATTTCGAGCTCAAAATGGCACTTTAGTTCTGAAAGTGGGGGGGGGGCGATGCCTCCCACCAGATTTTTTTTGGGGGGGCAAGTCGCGCCCCCCCTCCCCCGCACCTCACTTCCGGCGCCTTTGCTCGCGGCAGGGGAAGCGCGACGGCCTCGCGGCAGGGGAAGCGCGACAGTGTCGCGGCAGGGGAAGCGCGACAGTGTCGCGGCAGGGAAATCGCGACAGTGTCGCGGCAAAGGAAGCGCGACAGTGTCGCGGCAGGGGAAGCGCGACAGTGTCGCGGCTAAGGAAGCGCGACAGTGTCGCGGCAGAGGAAGCGCGACGGCCTCGCAGCAGGGGAATCGCAACAGTGTCGCGGCAGGGGAAGAGCGACAGTGTCGCGGCAGGGGAAGCGCGACAGTGTCGCGGCAGGGGAAGCGCGACAGTGTCGCGGCAGGGAAATCGCGACAGTGTCGCGGCAAAGGAAGCGCGACGGCCTCGCAGCAGGGGAATCGCAACAGTGTCGCGGCAGGGGAAGAGCGACAGTGTCGCGGCAGGGGAAGCGCGACAGTGTCGCGGCAAAGAGGCGCGACAGTGTCGTGGCAGGGGAAGCGCGACGGTGTCGCGGCAGGGGAAGCGCGACGGTTTGCGGCAGGGGAAGCGCGACAGTGTCGCGGCAGGGGAAGCGCGACAGTGTCGCGGCAGGGGAAGCGCGACAGTGTCGCGGCAGGGGAAGCGCGACAGTGTCGCGGCAAAGGAAGCGCGACAGTGTCGCGGCAGGGGAAGCGCGACAGTGTCGCGGCAGGGGAAGCGCGACAGTGTCGCGGCAGGGGAAGCGCGACGGCCTGCGGCAGGGAAGCGCACAGTGTCGCGGCAGGCGAAGCGCGACAGTGTCGCGGCAGGCGAAGCGCGACGGCCTCGCGGCAGGGAAGCGCGACAGTGTCGCGGCAGGCGAAGCGCGACAGTGTCGCGGCAGGCGAAGCGCGACAGTGTCGCGGCAGGGGAAGCGCGACAGTGTCGCGGCAGGGGAAGCGCGACGGCCTCGCGGCAGGAGAAGCGCGACAGTGTCGCGGCAGGGGAAGCGCGACAGTGTCGCGGCAGGGGAAGCGCGACAGTGTCGCGGCTAAGGAAGCGCGACAGTGTCGCGGCAGGGGAAGCGCGACGGCCTCGCAGCAGGGGAAGCGCGACAGTGTCGCGGCAGGGGAAGAGCGACAGTGTCGCGGCAGGGGAAGCGCGATGACGTCGCGGCAGGTGAAGCGTGACAGTGTCCCAGTGACAGTAGACGATACTTCAAAAAAATTTATAATAAAAATATAGGGTAGGTCAACTGTGGGGTAGGTCAACCTTTTTTGTTAATATTTATAACACTATTATTTATAGTCCCATATTTTTATTCAAATATTTATATTAATATTTTTATTAATAAATATATTGGTAGGTCAACTGTGAGGTAGGTCTAATGAACAGCCCCGCTCTGGAGCTCAAAACGCGTTTATATTCTCGGCCGCCCCAACCGGGACGCCGCCTGCGAGGTAGGCAACCAAGGCTCTGGCGCGCGGCCGCGCGTGGCGGGACGGCCTACCCTCCGTTTCACAGGCGCTAGGCGTCTGGCCCGCGTTGCTCAGGGAATCGTCTCGCGCGCAGCGAGCAACAGAGAAAAAGTAACTCAGCTGGATGCCACCTCGCCGTGATGCGCTTGGCGTAAAAAACGCATCGCCGTTCTTTCCGCCGCTTTGTCTTTGTCTCTACTCCTGTTTCTTGAAAAACTGGAGGAAAAACTGGATCCATTTCCGAGGAGTGAGAGATGGAGAGCCTCGCCTCTGGCGCGAGGCCCGGGCCGCCACACCGCCGCCGGCCGGGCCGCCTGCTTTTCTGCGCAAACTCCGTCAAAGTGTCCTCGGAACTGGAAACTCGCGACGTGAGCCGCATCGGCCCGGCCAGCAGACTGATTCCGAAGGTCGTTTTCGTCGCTTTGTCTCTCGCTCTCACCCATGGGGCGCCCGGGAAAGGTGCGAGAGGGGCAGAGCGACGAAAACGACTCTCGGAATCAGTCTGCAGAGAGTCGAGTGCCGCCTTCTTTCTGTCTGGCTAATGTCCTGACTGCGTCTGGGACGCAGGGAAGGCTCCCGTCTGCCTGCCCTCGTTCGTCGCTCCGTGGTTGTCTCGGTGCTGGCCAGACCAGGCTAGACCATGCTCGACAACGTGCGCCTTGCTTGCAGGTGATGCGGCCCGTGGCGCTGGTGTCCGAGGGCCACGAGGCGGCCACCGACTGGCACGACTCCGAGTTCATCAGCGAGTGCCTGTGCTGGCACAACGTGTACCGACAGCGCCACGGCGTGCGGGACCTGGCCATGAGCGCGGAAGTAAGGCAGCCGTTTTGTTTACGGTGCACAGTGGGCCAGAAGACCGGTGGAGGCGGCCAAAACTCTAGACACGTTTTGAGCTTCGGTGTCGCTAAATGGGACTCGAACTGAACGTGTGACCTCACCAATGGATTGCTGTCCGAACGAGGAATCCGTTGGTGGGGTCACACGTTTGGTTCGAGTCCCGTTTAGCGACTCTGGAGCTCAAAACGCGTCTAGAGTTTTGGCCGCCTCCTCTGGTCCTCTGGCCCACTGTGCGGTGTACCCCTCTCGAGTGTGCCGCAAACCTCACGCTTTGTCGTTGTGCTCGGCCGCAGCTGTGTGACATGGCGCAGCACTGGGCCAACCACCTGGCGCACGCCAACGCCTTCATGTACAAGCCGGGCGAGACGAGCGTCGGCCAGAACCTGTACTGCCGGCTGCCCAACACCGTCGCCACGGAGGTGACCGGTGGGTACACTGCCAGCCCTGCCACCCCTTTCGCTGCTGCAGTGCAGAAATGCAAGTTTTTGGCGTTTTGCTTTTGTTTCTTGTCGCAGGCCAAGAAGTGGCGGCCTACTGGTACAGCGCCGGGAAGAAGTACCACTACGGCAAGGAGCCCGACGTCCTGCACGCCAACGTGAACGCAGGTACGCACCACCACTGTTGCTGGTGTCAGTGCAATGTGAACGGCCGGTGACGTGACCACACTGTGCCCTCCCTGCAGGCCACTTCACGCAGCTGGTGTGGGCCGCGACCCGCGAGCTGGGCGTGGGCAAGGCCCGCAGCCGGCAGGGCAAGACGGTGGTGGTGGCCATGTACCACCCGCCGGGCAACATCTCCGGCGCCTTCCAGGAGAACGTGCCCTTCCCCGGGAACGTCACCAGCGACCTGGAGATGTCCCTGTCGGACTCGTCCTCGTCGTACTCGGCGTAGCAGCGCGCCCCGCCCCGCGCCAGCGCCTCGGCGCCGCGCTACCGGCCCGTCAGGTACACTGCACTATGGACCCGAAGACCGGTGGAGGCAGCCAAAACTCAAGACGCGTTTTGACCTGCAGTGCGAATCGAACCGAACGTATGGCCCACCAATCGATTCCTCGTTCGGAGAGCAATCCATTGGTGGGGTCACACGTTCGGTTCGAGTCCCATTAAGCGACTCTGGAGCTCAAAACGTGTTTAGAGTTTTGTCCGCCTCCACCGGTCTTCTGGCCCACTGCGGCACGTGGCACAACCTATGCTGATCTACGTTCAATCGGACGTGACATCATATTCGAACGAATTTGTTGGTTGCCTCAGGTTCCGCGTGGACTCCCCCACCGACAGCCCCATGCCGGCCGTGCCCCACCACGACGACGTCCCCGGCGCCGCCACCGCCACCGTGCACGGCTTGCACCCGCCCGGGGTAAGGAAGCAGTGCCCAGACTAATCTTACTCTTACTCAATGTGTTTGTTGCAGACGCAGTGAATTCAGTCAAAAGTGTTCGCGTTTAATGTGGGTAGACAAGTTAATGAAAACAAGAAATACTTTTTCCCATTTTATTGGGTCTTAATGGTGGTCTCCAGGTTCATGAAGGCATCTTGCTTGGATTTAGTAGGGATAGAACTTGGTGCTCTCGCCTTCGGTGATGGGAAGCACATCCTTGGCGAAGAGGTACTTCTCAGAGTTGTCCCTGGCAATCTTGGTGGAGTACTTCTCGTTGATGGGCAGCATATCGCCGGCAAGGAAGTACTTACCGAAGTTGGTGGAGTACTTCTCGTTGATGGGCAGCATATCGCGGGCAAGAAAGTGCTTGCCGAAGTTGGTGGAGTACTTTTCGTCGATGGGGAGTGCGTCACGGGCGAGGAAGTACTTGCCGAAGTTGGTGGAGTACTTTTCGTCGATGGGGAGTGCGTCACGGGCGAGGAAGTACTTGCCGAAGTTGGTGGAGTACTTCTCGTCGATGGGGAGTGCGTCACGGGTGAGGAAGTACTTGCCGAAGTTGGTGGTGTACTTCTCGTTGATGGGGAGTGCGTCACGGGCGAGGAAGTACTTGCCGAAGTTGGTGGTGTACTTCTCGTCGATGGGGAGTGCGTCACGGGCGAGGAAGTACTTGCCGAAGTTGGTGGTGTACTTCTCGTCGATGGGGAGTGCGTCGCGGGCGAGGAAGTACTTGCCGAAGTTGGTGGAGTACTTCTCGTTGATGGGGAGTGCGTCGCGGGCGGGGAAGTACTTCTTGAAGTTAGTGGAGTACTTCTCGTTGAGGGGCAGCATGTCACGGACGAGGAAGTACTTGCCGAAGTTGGTGGAGTACTTCTCGTCGATGGGGAGTGCGTCGCGGGCGAGGAAGTACTTGCCGAAGTTGGTGGAGTACTTCTCGTTGATGGGGAGCGCGTCACGGGCAAGGAAGTACTTGTTGAAGTTGGTGGAGTACTTTTCGTTGAGGGGCAGCATGTCGCGGACGAGGAAGTACTTGCCGAAGTTGGTGGAGTACTTCTCGTTGATGGGGAGTGCGTCGCGGGCGGGGAAGAACTTTTCGAAGCTGGCTGAGTACTTCTCGTCGATGGGGAGAACGTCGCGGGCGAGGAAGTACTTGCCGAAGTTGGTGGAGTACTTCTCGTCGATGGGGAGCGCGTCACGGGCGAGCAAGTACTTCTCGAAGTTGGTGGAGTACTTCACGTCCTCGTCGATGGTGGGGTTGAGGGCTCGCCAGTTGAAGTTCCTCAGGGGCTTGTAGGCCTTCTCGGCCAGCAGGTACTTCTCCATCTCGGGCTCGACGAAGGTGTCGTCCATCTCGGAGCGGTACAGGTCGCGCAGGCCGAAGTACTTGAGGGGGGAGTACTTCTCGGTGATCGGGAACCTCTCCCTGTAGAGCCCGTAGGTGCTGGTGGGGATGTACTTGCTGGTGATGTCCTCGGTGTCGAGCATCGCCCGCTCCAGGTAGGGGCTGCGGCGGCCGGCCAGGCTGAGGTCCAGCTCGGCGGCGCTGTAGTCCTTCAAGTCCCTGTCGACGGGGATGACCACGGCGGCGTTGGCCGCGGCGGCGAGGGCGACCACCAGGAGGAGCTGCATGTTGTCGAGTGCCGTCCGCCGGCCGGCCGCGGCTTTTTATACCGACCGCCTTCCAGTGTGTCTCCAGCCTTCCAGACGTCTCGCCTCGTGTCGCCTCGTGTCTCCCTCCAGGCTCCGGGCAACTTGCTATCGGCCGCGCGGCGAGCGGTCATGCGCCCCGCAGCCCCGCAGCCCCGCAGCCCCGCAGCCCCGCAGCCCCGCGACCAAAACACCACAATAAAATTGATGTTTGCTTTTGCCTCCATGATTCCCCGCGCCAAAAGTGCACGAAGGAACGTCTGGATTCCAACGCGCGTCTCAGCACGTCTGGCTTCGACGCGAAGTAACTTTCAGAGTTGGACCCGACAGTGTACCCTCCGCGGGAACGCGAAGCCAACGTCGGGAAATATTCCGGGCGGCGTTTATCAATGCTTTACAGCGACCGGCGCGGAGCACGCCCAGATAAGAGCGGCGAGCTATACACACCGGCATCCGAGACGAGTGCACACATGTGCGAGTAGTGGCAGGCGATACAAATACTTTTACTTCGATAGTCTCGGTAGACGCAAGCAATGAGTTGCATTGTAAATCAAGTGAGGATTATCTTAATCCCCCGGGGCGCTGCTGGGCGCGCCAAGGGCGGGCCACGCCGTCAACCGATAAGAAAGCGATCGCCGACATGAAGCCCAGGGCGATAGCAATCGCCAAAAATACCGCTGTGTTAATTTTTTCCAGGATCCCTTTCGCATTCCCAGTGTTGTTTACCCCTGCCTGTCTGCTCGGTCTGTCCAGCAGCAGCTGCTCGACCCGCGGGCCCTACAACAGGCGCAGCAGGGCGTGTGCGCTGGCATGGCGGGGCGCCCGGCCCGCCGCTCCAGAGTCCGGGAGGAGACGGAGGCCCTGCTGCGGCAGGCGGACGACATCCTCCCGGAGCAGGACGCCGACGAGGAGGACGGCCTCGTGGCCGGCGAGGACGACGACGAGGCCGTGGCCAGGCTGCTGGCCGCACGGAGGCTCCGCCTGCCCACCGTGGAGCGCGTGCGCGTCTACGGCAACCGCATGGTGCTGGAGCCGGTGGTGCCCGTCGTGCCGCGGGGGCCGCGGGGGCCCAGGACCGCGGGCACTCGAGCACGCGGCCTCCTGACGTTCTGGCGCCGCCTCAAGTGACTCGGCAACGCGGGGCCGCCCGCGCGCGGGGCGGGGTGCGCCGCTACTGCTCGACCAAGGGCTCGAGGACGTGATGAGGAAATTCCATGGCGCCACGTGTGCGCTGTAGTGCTCTCCACTACCGCGTTCTCATGGCAACGCCTGAAGAAACATTCACGTCTACACACCCTCCTTATACTTCACACTGTTTGGTGAAGAGTTTTCATCATTTACTATAATTCGATGCTTAATTCAGCGCACGTTCGGAGACTAATGAAATGCTCCCAACAAATAAGTCCCCTTTGTATTTCGTAATTTGCTATTTTTGAATTACTCGTACTGGTCACGCCACGACGGTTCCCGTGGACGGGATGTACGATGGGTTGCCTATCGCTTTGGCCGCAGGCGTAGGCCGGAGACTTTGGTCTGTGTTTGATGGCGGTCGGATGCAAGTGATGGCTGCAGGGTTCGCCACTGTCTAGCTCCGCTGACTTCTCAACAGTGGAAATTAAACTATGAGGGAGACTGGTTTATGATGAAGGTCTTTAGCCCGGGCATATCGTGATACCCCTCGTCTTCTGGTTCACCTTAAGTGAATATTCACTTGGCTGTGGTACTTTTTTCTAGCGCATAGTTAAAGTTAATTTTGAGAATCATGGACTGTTTGTTCCTCAAACAAAGCACTGTGTTGGGAATCACACGCCCTTCCGTACGTTTACTGTTCTGTCGTGGGACTACTTCTACTTTGTCTTGGAGTGAGAATCTATACAGGATAGACTCAAGAATTGGGCATTCCCTGCACAGGTTTGTGTCAGAATTGGAGTTGTGACATCATGTGCCTCAAGTAGAAAATGCTTTGATTTATTTTCTGTATTTTATTGTTGGTAGATACAAATTTAATCTATTATGTACGTCCATTTCTTTAGGCAGTTTAGTATAATTCAATTAGTAATTTTGAGATTTTTCTGACAATTGTGACTTTACTTCTTTTTTTCTCAGGCCTCTTGATGCTTCCCAACATTAGAAACAGTGCTTCAAAATGTTATAGACTGAAATGCATGAGACAGGAAATTTGAAAGTAGGCTTATTTTAATTAAAATAAAGATACAAAAATGTTAGGTTTTCATTGCACCAGCAGTATACTCTTGCAAAACTGTAGACTGCTTGTTGCATTTTGTCTTTGGATCTTGTAGGGTCTAGATACCTAAAATTGCTCATTATTGAATGTAAAATTAGTTTTATAACAGAGGCTCTGCCTCTGTCATGGTTTACTTCAAGTAGTAGGTATTAATTTTTAAATTTGTATTAAAAATATTAACAGGGTTTTCTTGGAATTAAATTTGAAAGAGCTCATCTTTAGAAGAAAATGGATCACACCTGATTTGCAGTCAGTTATCTAGTACCTCCTTTTCAATTTAAATAGGATAAGGTGTCTGACATGCTGTTTTCCTTACCGATACATGATGAAATGTACAGTTTTCAATCTTCAGTTGTTCCAAATTTTTCATGCCTTGGGTTCAGTTAGTCATGCCATCTACCTACAATAGGTTCATTGTTCATTTTGGTAGGACTAAACATATCTCTTTTGTTCCTCAGCTCAAACAAAAGGAAAGGTTCAGCAATCTATTTTGACAGCATGTCCCTGAAGTACAAAGGCATCAAATTATATCTAGATGGAACCTCGATATTGTTACTTCAACACACCATCGTTCATAACTTCCATGAGTTTCAATTATTTAATGATTTTCCATCCTAAAATTTCCCTCTTACAAGATCATTTTTGTTCTTTCAATTTTTAAAGAGTGATAACCGAATAGCCTGGCTTTAGCACAATTTAAACCTCTTCTGAATTTGTATAGACAAAAATGTGCTGAAGTCGCATTACTACCTTATTTGCAAAATCTGCACTTTGCTCAAGTAATTGCTTAGAGAGTTTGACGGAAGATTTTATAATCTGCTAAGCACAATCAAATCCTTATTGTTATTAATAAAAACTTAAAGAAAGAAAGTCTCCTGTATTTATTATCCTTCCACATATTTTTACACCACAAACATTGCCACCAAAGGTCAACAGTTTGAATTTTACCGCCCTTCTCCCGGGGAAGGAAAGAGCCAGTTTGCCGTCTGAAACTTATAACAAAGCACTGGTTTTAAAGACGAGATGTAGGAAGAATTTGTTTTCAAAAATATAATTCAAACCCATTTCTAGAAAAAAATGGTGATAAGAGCAGCAAGCTAGAGCCTCGGACACGCAACATGCCTACTTTGTTCACCCAGACCGATAGGCTTCAATGCCTTATGTTGGCCATGCTTTCCTGAGCTAGCAGACGATGCTCAGCTGTTAGATTCTGCTCAGCTGTTGGTGAAGCACAAACACACCACTTCTTTGTTGTTTTATGTGTCCTTTGCATTCTTTAGGGCTCATCAATCTTGTGACTTAAGACTTAGTCTACTCCTCCTACGATGTCGTTTAGGAAAGCTTCGCATGCAGGGACCTGGTATTCTGGTTCAGGTGAGATAAATGCCTTTTGCTCCCCTCACCCCCTTGGATGTTTACAGTGTCAATGGCCGCTTCGTGTGCCCCTTTCACAGGAATAACTAATTTCCCTTTTTTCCTGATTTGTGTAGGTGAAAGTAACATTCCTCATAATGTTCTTCCTCACTGTTCACTTCCTATGCTTTCTGTATGGCAATTTCAATGCTTATGCTTGTCAGTTTCAGTCATGGTTTCTCTCCTTTGTTCTGGGTTCTGGTCAGTCATGACTAGCAGAAAGAAAATCTAAAGCAATTTATTTTTTGCCAAAATTCTGCTTTGAATCAATTGTGTGCATCTTGTCATCTTTCAGTGAAAGAACTGGGCCGACAACTTGACGGATGGCTGCAAGTGGTTAATGTGACCCACCGCCCGGCAAGAGCTATAATAGCACCGTGAGTTACATATCAGCATATCAGTTATGGGCTGAAATTATGCCATCACCTACTTAAAACTGTCATGCTGAACATATGAATTTTCTAAATGTTTAAGGCATGCTGGATACAGTTATTGCGGCGCTTGTGGGGCTTACGCATACAAACAAGTTGATCCGTCTGTCGTGTAAGTAAGAAGATCATGATTACTTTGATGTTGATGTTTATCCTCTTCAATGTAAGATTATAAATATTCTTTACTTTGTCTCCATGCAGAAAACGTATTTTTGTTCTTGGACCGTCTCACAATGTTTGGCTTCCAGGCTGTGCTCTTTCTAGCACAACCAAGTACTGTACACCATTTTATGATCTACCCATAGACTCTCAAGGTAGCTTTATTCTACAAAATTTTGTGTTCTTTCTGGAATATATTTTGTGTAGTGAAAGTTCTTATGTTTTTTTGTTTTTTTTCAGTCTACTCCCAACTTGAAAGCACCGGCCAATTTGAGAGAATGAGCATTAGTGTTGATGAGGAGGAACACAGTTTGGAAATGCATTTACCTTACATTGCTCGTGTGATGGAGGAGTAAGTTCTATTTTGTTTTCATGGAGTTGATTTTGTTGTAGGACTGAAGCTGCTTTAATTGAATATTCTTAACACCTAGCTCTGTATGTTTTTCTCAAACAGTTACAAAGATTCCTTTAAAATTATACCAATAATGGTAGGATCCTTAACCGTGGAGAGGGAAGCTGCCTACGGTCAACTTCTTGCTCCGTATTTGGCTGATCCAAATAATTTATTTGTGGTTTCATCAGACTTCTGTCATTGGGGTCAACGTTTTCGCTACACATATTATGATCAACAGTTTGGTCAAATTCATCAATCAATTGAGGCCCTCGATAAGATGGTTTGTGTTTATTTTTTGTAATGATTGGTGCTCTTTGGAAACCTAAAAGCTCCAGCTTAAAAACCATTTTATTTTTAATTTCAAGGGCATGGATTTAATAGAAGATGTGAACCCGAGTGCATTTGCTGACTATCTGAAAAAGTATGATAATACCATTTGTGGTCGCCATCCCATTGCAGTCTTATTGCAAGTATGTCTTGGTCATATAGAAATATTGATTAAAATATGTTTTTCTTTCCTCGATTCCTGTTGTAACTGGCACCTTCTCAAATTTCAGGCTGCTGCAGTTTTGGCGTCTAGAGGAACCCAAATGTCTATGAAGTTCTTGAAATACGCTCAGTCTGACCAATGTCGCAACATGGGTGACTCATCTGTTAGTTATGCATCAGCCTCCTTGGTGTTTAACTGAGTGGATTTGGGTGCACATTTTTGTATGAACTGCCATAATAATGCTGTAATTTTTCTGTTAATTCTTTTTCTTTCTTATTTGCTATGGCATAGATTGTAAGAAATTTAACATGACACAGTTGCAGTAAAGACAATTTTTTTTTTAGCTAAGAGCAACATTGTTGACACATTCATTCCTACAAGAACCATGCTGCTCATTCATCAATGTAAAAAGGCAAGATCAAAATTTCCTTGAAAACAATGTATTTAGAAAATAAAATATTAGTGTAGTGTTATTTTTAATCAATATCACTGCCATTTTACTGTAATTTATTTATGTGTGTTTGTGGATGTACCAAAAAAGTGTGTAGTAGATCAACTTTTTAATATTTTTGTAAAATATTATAATAAAAAGATACAATCTGATCACTTGCAGTCTGAGTCTATATTACTCGGCCTACCCTGCCTATTTAACACGACGCGTCCAATGTTGAAATGGGAGGAGCAGCGTAGTGGTTATTTTCGGACGCTATTGTAGGGAAGACCACCGACCCGTTCTTTTACGGGGGTGGGGGAAACCGGGGCCTTCAGGCAGTGACCCCAGCGCCCCAGGGGTACTGGTATGGACAGGGTGTAACGACAGTGGGTCACGAGACAGAGGGAAGAGAAAGCAGTTTGCCCCAAAATGAAGAGGGCTAACTAGTGCAACTCTTTGCCAGCAAAAGTAGGCAAAACGTGTGGCGCGGCCGTCGAAAGACAGGGTCGCGGCCCCCGGACTATGGCCTAGTGTTTGCTCTATGACCTCAGGCTGTGTGACGAACGAGGAACCGTGCCATGTACGTGCCTCGATGATCGCGATGCTATCTGCGATAAGATTAAGACTACTGGCGTCAATCGTCAATCCCTCCGTGGCGCGGCTAATTGGGAGATTTGGTCGGATTATAGACCGCACACGACACGCCGCATACCCGTATTCCCTAGTATACCCCACCAGAAGGCGGCGGGCGTCGCGATCCAGAGTCAGACCCATCCGTCCTTTACACCAGGTAAGACGTTAGGTTGTTCGTGCGCAGCTCGGTAGAGGTGCGTTTGACTCATCTTGTTCTCAGTTTCTAAGTTCAATTTTCATTCTTGAGTGTTAAGTTAGCCCAAATTCAACGTGATTAACAGTGCAAGAGATAATTGGGGTACCCCACCTAAAGCAGAACGCCTCTTGGCTCCTCAGATTTCAAGCTTCATGTAGTTACGTTGTTAGATCGAACACTAAGTAGATTACTTCCTTAATTTGGCCTCGACACACGCGCCCATGCAAAATCAGGTGCCACGGTGACAATAGGAGCCCTATCGGGTGTGAATCGATCTCGGAATCGATTGCGCTCCCTGCGTCACCATCCGGTATCTTTGAAACGCGGCTATCTGTGCAGTGCACTGTAGAACACGCGGGGATTAATTGCTCCGGGAACCGGTGCGAAGAATGCATACGTGGCGGCTTTTTTAGCAGATGATACGTTCCGCTTTGATTCCAGTCATTGTCCTAGGTCGCAAAAAAGGGTGAATCATCAAAAAAAAATCTACGACCGCTGCGTGCACGTACGTCCTTTCCCATCCCCCGTTGATAAGAAAACAAAAAAAAAAGCCAAAAAAGTATTTTAAGGAATCGAATGCCTTTTTCCTTAGAGGCCAAGGCACACATTGTCCGACGGACAGATAAGCGCGCGAACGAAAACACGAAGGTGAGATTAAGCGTTTAAGTGCCACCTACGGGCTGGCTAGCCCAGGCAAGCCGGCTGTCGTTTGGAGTTGGCTGATCCGAATCGCCATCGGCGCGGTCTATCGGCTTTATCTCTCTGCAATAAAGTGGTAAAGAGTGGAAGAGTCGCCCCTCGCTGACAGGACGACAGGCGTCGCGCCACTCCAGGCCGACGCGTCCATCAGGGAAGGACCAGGGCCACAGCGGCCCGGGAAGCGTGGACAGACACAGACACAGGTAGCTCAGAGGGAAGGCCAGGTCCGGTGGCAGGCGGCACGGGCCTCCCCACTCCCCATCGGCACCCACGCTGTTAGTTTCCGTTTCGGACCGGCGAGCGGCGGCACGGAGGCAGGGTGGCACGGCGGCAGGGTGCGAACGCGAAGCCTCACCGCAGGGTTGGTGTTGCAGCATGGCGCGCCACGGCTGCTGCCTGCTCCTGGTGCTCGCGGCGCTGGCGGCCGCCTCCGCCGCGCCGGCCTCCAACGCCTCCACGCCGCTGGCCGCGTCCGGCGACCTCCCGCTCGCCGAGCAGGCCGCCCGGCTGGGCTTCACGCTGCCGCCGCGGAAGGTCCGCGCCGAGGTCGCCGTCGAGGCCACGGCCACGGGCGCACAGGCCTACCCCTTCGGCATGGCGGACCCCCAGCCGCCGCAGCGCTCCCGCCAGAGGAAGCTGGACACCAGCACCAGGACCAAGCGCGCCGCCGACGACGTGTACGACGAGACCCTGCTGCCCACCAACGTGGTGCCCACCAGATACACGGTACGCGCGGGGACAGGGAGAGAGGGAGACGCCGGTGTGGCGAAGGACCAGCATAAACGGTGCGGGCTGCTCTCCAGGTCACCATGGCGCCCAACCTGGCGACCGGCATCTTCTACGGCTCCACGGACATCTACATCAACGTGGTGGAGGCCACCTCCCGCATCATCCTCCACGGCGCTCCGGACATCACATTTAGCGAAGTTCAGATTTTGAAGGAGACCGCGCCGGACACGGGCACTTTTGTCGAGTGAGTGTCAGTGATGCTACGTTCTCTGCGCCTCACCGCAAAGCCTCTCTACCAAACCTGCTTCCCCCGCAGCAACGGCAAAGCCACCTTCGTGCTGCTGGACCCCAACGAGGACTTGGAGCGCCTCGTCATCGACCTGGACACCGCGCTGGTTGCGGGCGTACACTACCTCCTGCGCTTCCCCCTGTTCGGGGCCTACCTAAGGAACGACCTCAAGGGCTTCTACTTGTCCACCTACGAACTCGCCAACGGCCGCACAGTGTAAGAAAATCTCGTAAAGATTAAATTGATGGCAGGATGGCGAAGAAAGGATTGCCGGACCCTTTTTTTTTCCAGTCGGCTGGCGACGACGCAGTTCGAGCCGCCGGCAGCCCGCTTCGCCTTCCCGTGTTTCGACGAGCCCGCCCTCAAGGCGCGCTTCCAGATCGTCGTGGAGCACGACCCCTCCTTCACCGTCAGGTCCAACATGCCGGAGGCGTCCAACACCAGACCGTAAGTCATTACGCTTGGGCTAAGTACACTGCCTTCATTGAGTGGTTGCACCGCGGGACCCTAAGCCCTTGCCGCCTCCGCGCAGGACGCTGACCACGGTGCGCACCGTGTTCCAAGAGACCCTCCCCATGTCCACGTACCTGCTGGCGTGGGTGGTGTCCGACTTCGCCGAGCTGACCTCGTCCGGCGACGCCAACCTCAAGACGTGGGGCAGGAAGAACCTGCTGCGTGCCGACTCGGCCTACCTCGCCAACCTGGTGGGGCCCAAGGCTCTGCAGCTGCTGGGAGAATTCAACGGCATCAAGTACGAGCTGCCCAAGATGGACCAGTTCGCCATCCCGGACTTCGACGCTGGCGCCATGGAGAACTGGGGCATCGTCACGTACAGGGAGGAGTACTTGCTGGAGACCTCGGACACCACGATCCGCATCCGCGAGTTCATCGCCACGACCGTGTGCCACGAGTTCGGGCACCAGTGGACGGGAGACCTGGTCACCCTGGACTGGTGGTCCAACACCTGGCTCAACGAGGGCTTCGCCACCTACTTCGAGAACGTCATCTGCGACAAGGTGAGCCGGCGCCGGCGGCCGAGTTTCTTGACAGCGACGGATCCCGAGGCGGCCCAAGGGAGGGGCAAAAGTGCGGCACTTTGCCCACCCTTCAGGCGGCTTGGGCGGCAGGGGCGGCCCTTTCGCTCTCCTGATGGATCCGCGCCTGTTGCGTCCCGAGTGGCCGAGAATGTGGCGTACCAAGCGCAGTGCATGGTTGCAGATCTTCCCCGAGTGGAACCTCATGGACAAGTACGTGACGGACAACGTGCACGTTGGCATCGCCCACGACGTGATGCCCGGCCAGATCGCCATGTCGAGCCCCGCGTTCGGCACGGCCGCCATCGAGGCCAAGTTCGACCGCATCTCCTACAAGAAGGGTAAGCACAAACCAACTCCGCGCCGAGAGGAAGTTCGCCAACGATAACACGAACCAGGTTGGTTTTGGACGACTATGACACTTTCATTGGATTCTCTTTGTCCTTTTATGACCAGGCGGATCCGTGTTGCGCATGTTTGAACACATTCTCGGCACCGAAGTGTTCAAGAAGGCAATGAACAGTTACCTGTCAACCTAGTAAGTCCATACGATAGAAAGAATGACTGTGATGCCGACACTCTCAGGCATCCATGTCGATAATCTAAACGCAAACGAATCGAGAATATTTAAATGGGAGCTGACACTGCTCTGCCCGTCTTATGCAGCCATTACGCCAACGGCTCCCCCGACCGCCTCTTCCGCGCCATGAACACCGCGGCGGTGGCGGCGTCCTCCCCGCTGCCCCCGAACACGGACTTCGCCACCATGGCCAAGACGTGGACCGAGCAGGCCGGCGTGCCCGTGGTCACCGTCACCCGCAACACGGCGCAGGGCGCAGTCACCCTCACCCAGGAGCAGTTCTTCTACGAGACCCCCGAGGACCAGCAGAAGACGCTGTGGTACGTGCCCATCCCCGACATCGTGAACCCCAAGACCAAGGACTGGACCAAGACGGCCCCCGTCCGCTGGCTGACCCCCGACGCCCCGACCATCGCGGACCTCGACGTCGACGCCAGCGCCACCGAGTGGATCGTGGTCAACCCCAGGCAAATCGGTGAGTGCCAAGCCCGACGAAGGCAAACTTGCGTTCAGCTCATTTGAAGGCGTTGGTAAACCATGGTGTCTTGGCGGCAGGCTACTACCTCGTCAACTACGACGCGGACAACTGGAAGCTGCTGCACCAGGCGCTGCTCAAAACCCCTGACGAGCTGCACCCGTCCACGCGCACCCAGCTGGTGCACGACTCGCTGGCCATGGCGCGCGCGGGCAAGCTGGACTACGCGACGGCACTGCCCTTCCTGCAGGCACTCAAGGCTGAGCGTTCGCCCGCCGTCTGGAAGGCCGGCATCGAGGCGCTCACTTTCCTGCGCGACAGGCTGGCCAACACGGAGGCCGGCACCGCGCTCAAGGCCTTCATCCAGCAGATCACCGCCGACGCGTACGACGCCGTGGGTCTCGGCGCGTCCGCGACCACGCCCACCGCCGACACGTCCAAGGACGAGGAGCGCTACCTGCGCTTCCTCGTGGCCAGCTACGCGTGCTACGCCGGCAACAAGAAGTGCGTGGCGGACGCCATCCAGGCCGTCGGCGATCTCTACGACAACGACGTCAGGTAAAGGGTGCCCCGCGCTTGGCCGCAGAGCACAGTGGGCCAGAAAACCGGTGGAGGCGGCTAAAATTCCAAACGCGTTTTGAGCTCTAGATTCGCTAAACAGGACTCGAACCCAGAGTTTGACCCCACCAATGGATTCCTCGTTCGGAGATCAATCTATTGGTGGGGTCACACGTTCGGTTCGAGTCCTATTAGGCGACTTTGGAGCTCACATCGCGTCAAGAATTTTGGCCGCTCCCATCGCTCCTCTGACCCACTGTGCAGAGGCGCGTCATTCGCAATGCCGCACAAACCCCTTCACCGTGTTCGCGCTTTCGCCCTGCCCAGGCCCAACGCGGACGTCAGGGACGCCGCCATGTGCTACGCCGTGCAGAACTCGGACGACGCCTTCAACTCGATCATCGACAGCTACATGGAGACGTCGGACTCGAAGGAGCGTGGCCTGTACGCCGCGGCGCTAAGCTGCACCATGAACCACCCTCTCCTCGAATTGTGAGTTGGCAAGCTGCCGAGGCCTCTAGGCGTCCACAAGTCTCCTCCCCTCTTTCGGACATTGCAACCCTTGCTGGTTCTTGCTCGCAGCCTCATGAACGGCATCATCGCCAAGCAGGACGACACCTCCCTGAACGCCGCCGACCTGCAGGTACTCATCAACGCCATCCTCAGCCGCTGGGACAACCACAGGTTCATGCTCAACTACTACAAGAAGAACTGGAGGAACATTTACAGATTGTGAGTAATCCGTTTGTGAGTGCTTTGTTCTGGGGTGGTTTGCACAGCCCACCCCTACCCGTGCAACTGAGCGGTGTTCTGAACTGCCTGCGACCTGTTTCAGCACTGGCAACTCCTTCTACGTCAACGTGCTGAACGCCCTCATCGGCGACATCCGTACCCAGGCGGAGCTCGACGAGGTAAGGAGGAATTTCTTGCCGTTTTCAAAGCGTGTTCGAGACCCAGTTGCTGTGTCGGCGAGCCTGACCGCAATCCGTGCTTTCGTGCCTGCAGGTGACGGCATTCGTCGCCAAGGACTTCCCCGAGACCACCGCCACCGTTCGCCGGGAGTTCGACCTGAACCTGGACGCCGCCAAGAAGGGCCTGGCGTGGAACATCAAGAACTTCGCCCAGGTGCGTCTGTCCTTCCGCTGCCGTGCTCCGCGGTTCTGCGCAACGTTTCGTCCGTGTATCAAACCTCCAGCAGCGTTCCGGTCACTGAGCGCCGCGTGTCGTGCTTCTGAATGCCGCAGGTCTCGCAGTGGCTGTACACCGCCACCAGCACGGGGCCCTTCGTCCCGACGGAGCCGACGTGGCCGCCCACCGGGCCCACCACCAACGCGCCCACCAAAGCGCCCACCACCAGGCCCACCACCCCCGCCACCAGGCCCACCACCGCGAGGCCCGGCCCGACGACGTCGCGCACGCCGAGCACCACGCCGAAGAGCGGCGCCAGCCAGGCGACCGGCGTGGCCTCCCTCGTGGCGGCCGCCCTCCTCGCCCTCTTGCTGCGGTGAACCGTCACCGTCAGGGGAGAGGGATTCGACTGAGAGGACAAACGACGAACGGCCTCGCTTCCGTTCAAACTTTGCGGTTGTTTTGTGATAAACGGCAATGGTTTCGAATAAAATAATACTCCGAGTGCCAACTAGGTGACTGTAAGACCAGCTTTTTATTGACCTTATCCGCATCCACTCGCAAAGACCGTATTCGGAATTATCTTCTTACGTTCTCGACATGATTGGCCCATGTCCTGTCTTGCGATTAATCCACATATGCAGTTGAGTCGACTAGTTAAATCCGGCCAAGTTCTCATAACAGTTTCCCGAAATCGACCGTCACAGCAATCGATAAAAGGGGGCTTACAGTTGAAGCCGCGAACAGGGTGTACTTACTCTGATAAGTAATCTACCAGTTTGATTCGCAAACAGCCTTGATTGAGGTTGCACTTGCGTCAGAAAAAAGCACTCCTTTTTAAATTGACGTCATAAAATGACCTTTAAACACCTCCTTCAAACAGCATTCTTCTGTTTTTCAAATTATATTTTTCTTGAGGGTTTTCCACATAAAACCACACTTGCAGGCGGTATCACTCGGCAGGCCGGCGGCGCCTTTCGACCTATAGAACTGGTTCCATTCATCGCCACGATACGACAGTTCTTCGTAGACGGAGAGATTAGACCCTTGCCGTGCATTTGTATCTTCCTCTCTCTCTCGCTCACCGCGGTTCAATCACGACTATTCATTACATTACGGAGGCTCGGCGGCGCGACGCGCGACGGTCCGGCCGAACGAACGTCACGAGTGCCTCTTCAGCTTCAGCAATCTTCAGTCGGGCCCCGACGCAGGCACGCATCGAAACTAGGTAAAGCTTCGAAAAAAAAAAACGGTCGAATACTCCTCTAAATGCTGTCGAAAAAGATCGGTTCAACGACCTTTTACTTACTGAAAGCAATGTCTGACACAGTGCTGCAGCATGGCGCGCCACGGCTGCTGCCTGCTCCTGGTGCTCGCGGCGCTGGCTGCCGCCTCCGCCGCGCCGGCCTCCAACGCGTCCAAGCCGCTGGCCGCGTCCGGCGACCTCCCCCCGAGCCTCCCCCTCGCCGAGCAGGCCGCCCGGCTGGGCTTCACGCTGCCGCCGCGGAAGGTCCGCGCCGAGGTCGCCGTCGAGGCCACGGCCACGGGCGCACAGGCCTACCCCTTCGGCATGGCGGACCCCCAGCCGCCGCAGCGCTCCCGCCAGAGGAACCTGGGCACCAGCACCAGGACCAAGCGAGCCGCCGACGACGTGTACGACGAGACCCTGCTGCCCACCAACGTGGTGCCCACCAGATACACGGTACGCGCGGGGACAGGGAGAGACGCCGGTGTAGCGAAGGACTATCATAAACGGTGCGGGCTGTTCTCCAGGTCACCATGGCGCCCAACCTGGCGACCGGCGTCTTCTACGGCGCCACGGACATCTACATCAACGTGGTGGAGGCCACCTCCCGCATCATCCTCCACGGCTCGCCAGACATCACCTTCAACCGGGTGGAGATTTTGAAGCAGAACGCGCAGGGCACTTTTGACGAGTAAGTGTGGCAGCTTGGTTTGGTTCGGGCAGAGGGCGTTTGCGTGGATTACACTACTGCCCCTCAGCAACGGCGATGCCACCCTCCTGCGGCTGCGGCCCCAAGAGGACGCCGACCGTCTCGTCGTGGACCTGCAGAACGCGCTGGTGGCGGGCGAGCACTACCTGCTGCGCTTCCCCCTGTTCAAGGCCTACTTGAGGAACGACGGGCAGGGCTTCTTCTTGACCTCCTACGAAAACGCCAACGACCAGAGAATGTGAGGACTGTGAAATTTCACCACAAAATAGGAAATAGGAGACAGGTGGTAAAACAAAGGGTGCCAAAACAAAGCACATATTGATATTCTTTTTCGAAAAACGAACAAAAAGTTTGCTGGCGGCGACGCAGTTCGAGGCGACGGCCGCTCGCTACGCCTTCCCGTGCTTCGACGAGCCCGCCCTCAAGGCGCGCTTCAAGATCATCGTGGAGCACGACCCCAGCCTCACCGCCAGGTCCAACATGCCGGAAATCAGTCGCAAGGCCACGTAAGTACAGAGTGCCGGGAACTCGGTGGATCCTCGTCGCTTTCATCGAGTGCCCCTTCGCTCATTCTCGCTCGTCCCTGGCAGGGCCTTGACCATCGTGCGCACCGAGTTCGACGACAGCCTCCCCATGTCCACGTACCTGCTGGCCTGGGTGGTGTCCACCATGGACAGCATCGCCGCCACGTCCGACGCCTCCTTCACGACGTGGGGCAGGCCCAACATGCTGGGCCAGCGGACCGTCTTCCTGGCCAACGAGGTGGGGCCCAAGGCGCTGCAGCAGCTCGCCGAGTTCACCGGCATCCCCTACGCGCTGCCCAAGGTGGACCAGTTCGCCCTGCCGGACCTCGGCGCCGGCGCCATGGAGAACTGGGGGCTCGTCACGTACAAGGAGGAGTACTTGCTGGAGACGGGCGTCACCACGATCCGCGCGCGCGAGTTCATCGGCACGAGCGTGTGCCACGAGCTGGGGCACCAGTGGGCCGGCGACCTGGTCACCCTGGACTGGTGGTCCAACACCTGGCTCAACGAGGGCTTCGCCACCTACTTCGAGAGCGTCATCTGCGACAAGGTCAGCGACAAACCCCAAATGACCAGACAGAATCATCTCAGAAATTTTTGAAAAAAAAAAAAAGAAACAACAATTTAAACGCGCTGCATCGCGTATCGGGATTTCAGATTTTCCCCGACTGGAAGCTGATGGAAAAGTTCGTGGCGGACAACTTGCACGTGGCAGTGGCCACGGACGCACTGCCCGGCCAGTTAGCCATGTCCAGCCCTGTGACCACCACGGACGCCATAGACGAGAAGTTTGGCGTCGTCTCCTACCAGAAGGGCAAGTCCGGCTGAAGGATAGGAAGACACTCATGGTGTCATCGTCTTGTTCGGACATTACTAAAGTACTTGACCTCGTTTGCAGGTGGAGCCGTGCTCCTGATGTTCGAACACATTCTCGGCACCGAAGTGTTCAAGAAAGGGTTAAACCGCTACCTTTCCGCGAAGTAAGTCCGGACGGTGGCGGTCTCTGCAGCGCATTGGTTGTAAACAAACTCACACACACGCTCTTGCCCTCAGCTCGTTTAAGACGGGCTCCCCCGACGGCCTCTTCCGCGCCATGAATGTCGAGGCGGTGGCGGCGTCCTCCCCGCTGCCCCCGAACACGGACTTCGCCACCATGGCCAAGACGTGGACCGAGCAGGCCGGCGTGCCCGTGGTCACCGTCACCCGCAACACGGCGCAGGGCGCAGTCACCCTCACCCAGGAGCAGTTCTTCTACGAGACCCCCGAGGACCAGCAGAAGACGCTGTGGTACGTGCCCATCCCCGACATCGTGAACCCCAAGACCAAGGACTGGACCAAGACGGCCCCCGTCCGCTGGCTGACCCCCGACGCCCCGACCATCGCGGACCTCGACGTCGACGCCAGCGCCACCGAGTGGATCGTGGTCAACCCCAGGCAAATCGGTGAGTGCCAAGCCCGACGAAGGCAAACTTGCGTTCAGCTCATTTGAAGGCGTTGGTAAACCATGGTGTCTTGGCGGCAGGCTACTACCTCGTCAACTACGACGCGGACAACTGGAAGCTGCTGCACCAGGCGCTGCTCAACACCCCTGACGAGCTGCACCCGTCCACGCGCACCCAGCTGGTGCACGACTCGCTGGCCATGGCGCGCGCGGGCAAGCTGGACTACGCGACGGCACTGCCCTTCCTGCAGGCACTCAAGGCTGAGCGTTCGCCCGCCGTCTGGAAGGCCGGCATCGAGGCGCTCACTTTCCTGCGCGACAGGCTGGCCAACACGGAGGCCGGCACCGCGCTCAAGGCCTTCATCCAGCAGATCACCGCCGACGCGTACGACGCCCTGGGTTTCGGCTCTTCGTCGCCGCCCGTGGTCTACACCAACGAGGACGAGGAGCGCTACCTGCGCTACCTCGTGGCCAGCCACGCGTGCTACGCCGACGGCAAGAAGTGCGTGGAGGACGCCGTCAAGGCGGTCACGTCCGTGTTCGATGAATTCGTCGAGTAAGTTGGGAGAAGTGAGGGCGCGGCCCGGGATCGAACCATCGAACTTCTACGCGCGACGTCGACTATACATGCGTTTCTTCCCGCCAGTCTCCCCGCCGACGTCGCGGACGCCGCGCTCTGCACCGCGGTGAGGAACTCGGACGCCTTGGCCAGGAGCGTCCTGGAGGAGTACATGGACGTCGAGGAGCTGCCGGAGCGGAGGTCGTACGCTTTGGCCCTCGGCTGCACCCGCAACCACAACACCCTCGAGACGTGAGTGGCCTTCACGGTTCTAGGGTCTTGGTTCACGGTTCAAACACTGAGTTCGCTTGCTTTTCGTTCCACAGCCTTCTCGACAACGTGCTCAACGGACGAGGCCACCCGATACCGACTCGCGCCGACCTCCACATGCTCGTCGACGCCATCCTCAGTCAGCGGGACAACCACAGATTCATGCTCGATTACTTCAAGAAGAACTACATCCAATTGAAGGAATTGTTAGTTGGATGCGAGTAACGTGGAAATAGGCCATCCTGCAGGCTGCGATTCCCGTGGGTCGTTTCGTCGCTCTGTCCCTGTCGCACCCATGCGGCCGGTGGCGGCGTTCCGTAGGGGTGCGAGGGAGACAGGGTGACGAAAGGAGTGTCCGAAGTCGCTCTGCTGTCGTGTATGAATACGGGCACTAAAACGATGATTTGCGTTCCTTGCAGCGGCGGCAGAGCCTACACCACGAGCTTGCTGAACTCTCTCATCGAGGACATCCGCGCGGCGGAAGAAGTGGAAGAGGCAAGTGTCTTTCTAGGGGGAGGTTAAACCTATTCCAACCAGCAACGCTTGAACGAAAACGTCCTCTCATCTCCCACCAGATCGCGCGATTCATAGCGCAGGCCTACCCTGACCCCTCGTCCACGGAGAGGAGGGACACCGAGCTGCGCCTGGACCTCGCCATGAAGGGCCTGGAGTGGCACCGCAAGTACTTCACCGAGGTATCGCAGTGGCTGTACGCCGCCACCAACACGGGGCCCGTCACCACCACGACCACGCCGACTACGCCTACAACCCCCATCGTGCCGCCGAGGCCAACCACTACGAGACCCCCGACGACGCCACCGACGAGGCCACCCACGGGCCCCCCCGGGCCGCCCACCACCTCCGCGCCCCAGCCGCAGCCCACCACCGCGCGCCCGAACAGCGCGAGCACGGCGAACGGCGTGGCCAGCCTGGTGGCCACCGTCCTGCTCGCACTCACGCTGCGGACAGCGGGATGCTGCTAGCGGCGGAAAATCAGTTAATTTATTGAGTAGCCACGGATTAATAAGTTAATTTATTGAGTAGCCACGAAATAATTAGTTAATTTATTTAGTAGTCACGAAACTGTTTGTAAAGCCGTGAATGTCTCCATGGTAAAGTAAGATTGTGTGATTAAATGGGAGTACAATCCACAGTGTTCAGAAAACGTCTTTTGTTTTCAAAATAATCTTGGCTTGTGATTTCTGAACTTCACCTTCGGCCTAAACCCTCTGCGAAACATGCAAGTTTCAATTTGAGCGGGGAAACGGACATTTACCTACAGGCATGATGGTTTTCCAGGCAGCGCTTGGCGCCGCCTGGCAGCCGCCTCTAGGCAACCCATCCGGCTCGCCCCCACAGTGGGTGGCCACAGGGTCTATTTTTCTGCATGGCACTCCCACGGAATGAACCATGTTACCCTCGTGATGCGACTGCGTGCATGCCAATACATTCAGGTTCTGTTTTTCCTTTCGCCTACAAGGTTGTCGTCAGTCCGACTGCGTCCAAGTTTAAAATGATCCCGCCATAGCGGGCGAAGCCGCGGGAGGACGGGCCACCTTTTCGCTACAACTTCGATGGACCAATCAGGACGCATTAGGATCCTGCCTCTCTTCTTTTGTCTCTGGGCCACCATAACCAAAACAGAACATCAACAAAGCAGAAAACCTGCACCAGTGAAAAAGCTGCATCACACCCGACTCTTTAGCAAACTGAGCACCATCAAGACTGGACCAGAATCTAGCATAATTTCGCAAACGTCCCTCATTCGTCATTGAGACGGAGAGTGATAAATGTTGAAGGCGGCAGTCCATCAGAATCGACTTGCTACTTATTTGGAGGTTATGTAGTCCATAGGTACGCCTCCCATCACAACAAGTTGCATAATTTCGCTGTAACAACGCCCAGAGAAAGCCTGTGAGCGATCGGGTGCGGTGAACCGGGAAATGTGGGATATGCGTCGTGCGGCGCGCGCTGCCAGGGGCGGGTTGGTGTGTCTATGTGTTGCTTGACGTCGCCTGATCGCCAACAGATGGTCGGGCCCGACTGGCGACTGGCCGAGCCGCGGAGCGGATTATCAGAAGAGAAGTTTGTCCGCGCCTGTCGCTGTCCCTGTCTCCGCGCCTCCTCCCACGCACCATGCGAAGTGCGAAGCACAGCCGCGTGCTGCGTCGCCGAAGAAGCACCGTCCTGCCTGTCTCCGTCTAGCCTTGGCAGCCAGTGACACAGATTGTGCCTCTCGGCCTCTCTGCAGCACAGCCAGGCACAGCCAGTGCAGATGTCTTGTGACGGCGTCGTGGTGTGAGTGAGGTTAGACACCCCTGAGTCACTGTTGCTTGCTCTTTGACTGGGACACCACTCTGGACTAGTGGTGTATGTGCCACTGGCCTTGGTGTCCTGGACAATTTGTGAATTTACAAGTGGACTGTGTTGTCGTTCCGAATGGCATGTTTTCGCAGTTTGAATGTCATTGATTGTGTGTTTTGTTTCTAGTTTTGCATCCGTGTGGGCAACTGCAAGGCATCCATATCAATGGTGATTTCATAACTGTTTTATTCAACGCACAAAAATGGCTTCCTTTGAAGATAGTTGTAAAATATCAATCGACGGCATGACATGCCAGTCATGCGTACAAACGATTGAAGCAAATATAGGAAAAGTGAATGGTGTGAAAGTAATAAAAGTCAATTTAGAAAAGAAAGAGGCAACCGTTGGGTTGGACAAATCAACAGATATCTCCCCAACCAAAGTTGCTGAATTAATCTCTGACATGGGATTTGACGCCAAGGCTTTAGATAGTGACACATCAAGTGGCATTTCTTCTATGACGAAATGTAAGTTGCTGCTGATTCATTGTACATGCCGCCAATTTTTAAAGAATTTGTTGCTGAAACCTCAAAATTATTGCTTGCAGACTCACTTCAAAGTCCAGACTTTGGTGAGACGTCAAAGGATGATACTCCGCTAATTGTTGGAAGTTCTACAGCTGTTATTGTTCCCGCGCAACCTCCAAGGTAAGCAGCTTTGATTCTGTACCCTTTTGCAATCTATGAACATGCGAAACAAATGTAGGCTGTGATAGTGAGTTGCCACAAGGAAACAGTGTAGCTAAATGCTGTAGAATAATAGCCAGTGTACTTTCAGGAATATCAGTGGCTCATTGGCTCGTGATAGGGTTTATCCTGACGACTTGTGGCAAGATTTGTAAGTTCAATTGACAATATTTATCTTTATCTAGGTGCTGGGCGTTCTGAGGAATTTCTGCTGCATGTTTTCTGACCAACTTTGAGCATGGTGTAGGCTATTGCAGGGTTCAGCACTTTTTCTCTGATCTTTCACTCTCTTCTCATTGCACCAGATGACTTTACTTTTTGTTTTATTTTGCACAGGCTGTTTAAAACTGTTTTTTATTTGGTGGAGTTGTTACTTTTTTCCTGGTGTTGGCCCTTATAATATTTTTCTATTTTTAAAATTTAATTTTACCAGCTTATTTTGTTGAGTTGCAGCGTCTTTGCGTATTTTCTCTTGCTCTTTTGGTCTTCCACCTTAGTACACATTTGTTCCTCAAATGTTTTTTTGTGAGCTGGATGATGGTGACTGTGTTGGGGGACACTGTGTGAAGTCATTAATTAGAGCTAGTTTGACCGTGAACCCCGAGACGAGGCACTGTGACAGGAAATGCTTTATTTTGCCACCCATGACTGAATGTGGCAACCGACTAATTGTGACTAAAGTGCTTTCCTCGTCTGTGTCGTCCTCTGCTCGTGCTTTCCAAAACACTTGCAGTGCACGTGCCGCAGCCGATGCACTAGTTTTCAGTCACGTCCTCTCGTTCTCCTCCTCGTTCCGCTGTCGGTTACGATTTGGGTTCGAGCCGTTCCGGCACTTTGGCCCCGCTGCTCTGTCTCTCTCGCACTCACGGGCGCCTCGTACAGGTGCGAGAGAGACAGAGCGACGTAAAGACTCCGTCTGGTGGTCACGGCCACTGGTCCTCGGTGGAACGTGCGCCTAGTGACGCTGCAACGCTCAAGCTCAAATACTCCGTGCTTGTCCCGCGACGCCGCGACCCCGACGGCACGCGAACTGCGCAGTGGCGGCAGCGGCGCTCCAAGGAGCCCTTCCCTTCGGTCGCCCCGTCTCTCTCATCCCAGCGGCCCGCGAGTGCGAGAGAGACGGGACGTCGCGACCACGTTTTCGGAGCCAGCCTGTATAGTAGTAGTGGCGGCGCGTTATCGCGAGGTCGTTGCACGATCCAATTCCGCGCCCCTCCCGCCACACCACCGCGTGCCGTCTTGCAGTGCCGTGCCGTGGCGTGCCATGCCGGGCCGTGCCGCGCCGTGCCGTGGAAGACACCTGCTTCGCCTCCCGCACGCTAATTTGTCGGACTAGGTAGACATGTGCGACTCCACCAGGCACCAGTGTAGGGGCTGCTGCTTTCCAGCAGATTCCCCACTGCCTTCGCCGTTGCACGACTTTCGTGCGGTATTCGTGCTATCCGATGCGAATGCGACTGGAAGGGCCCTGTGCTGCTGGCTGGCGCAGCGCGCTGCCATGGCGCTGCCCGCAGCCCGCGCGGCCGTGGAACCCGAGACTGCCTGTGAGCCGTGCGGGTAGGCAACCCATCGCGCAGCCGTTCTAGAGGACTTCTAAGACTCTAGCGCTAGCGGCGGCCCCGACTCTTCGGGGACTGACTAGCACGACGTCAAGATCGCAGCCGTAGCCGGGGTTCGTGCTGCAACGTGCAGTTGTGTATGTGTTGTACTGTCGACGGTCAAAAACCATGGGTGGACTTGAAATGCGCGCGTTGTGCCCGTGCAAAATTTCTTTGACGCTTTTCAATGTCTCCAAAACAAAAACGCACAGGAGGGTGCAACGAGCCGGCCATGTAGGACATCTGCGTGTGCACGGCAGCACCGCAGCAGATACTGCACCCCACAACCCGCTCGTTGCAGCCCGCGGCGCACCGGCGGACTGATTCAGAGCTCTGCTCGCGTCGCTCCGTCTCTCTCGCACTCACGGAACGCCCCGCAAGGGTGCGAGAGAGACAGGGCAGGTGTGTTGTGGGTCTGGAAGAATTCGGGCCCGGCTAGGTGGCCACCAACCTGGCCACTGCTAGTCTCGCCTTATCAAGGCTGGCCATTTGATAGCGCACTCTGGCTGCCTGCTTGGCTGCCTGCTTGGCTGCCCGCCGCGCCACTTTGGGCGCGTGGGGCCCAACGCGGTGCGCACCCGCACACACCAGGACGGCGCTATCCGCGGCGGCCTGTCTCTCTCGCACTCGAGGCGCGTGTCGCAGAGGGAGAGAGAGGGCAACGCTGCGGCCACGCGCTCGGTGGCACTTCCCTCTTCTTGCGAAGCAAACCGTCCCCCCCTCCCCCTTTCCGTTTTCCTACCTGCGACTAGTTGATTCAGTTCAGGGCCGGCGCACTGCGCGCTCCGCGGCGATCGGCCTCGAGCGAAAGTGCGTGTCTTGGCCGGCACTGCGCTGTCGCTCTGTCTCTCTCGCACTCCTTCGGTGCGCCCCGTGAGTGCGAGAGAGACAGCGCCACGAGAGCACTGTTCGGAACGAGACGGCGGCGACCTGGAGCTACCTGGAGCGTGCTGCTGCACTGTTGAAACCTCCGCCTCGCCAGCGTGCACGTGCTGGGCACACAACGCATTGGTCCTTTCCTTTTCTCGCTTTTCGGCCGACCACTGCCGCTGCTGGACTGCAGGCTGATGCTAATCGTCTCTCTCTCTCGCACTCGCAGGGCGTCCCGCCAGCAAGCCAGCGTGCGAGAGAGACGGAGCATGCAGCCAGGCGCTTCGTGCCGTCACGTTGGCGCGCTGGTTTGGGGCTGATTATGCGCAGTTTGGCAAGTTCGGCTCACTCACCAAGGCGAGGCGCGGCGCGACGCGGCGCGACGGCGAGGTCCTCACGGAATCGCTGTGACGTGGCCCGCTCACACATCAGGTGTTTGAGTCCATCGTGCTTGGAGGGCTGTCCGGCCGCCCCCGCCCCTCCCCCGCCCCTTCCCCGCCCACTCGCCAGGCCACCCGCACCCCGCCCCCACCCCACCCCCGCGTACTCGGCGCCCACGTCACACGCCCCCGCCCTCGCGCTCTACCCACGCGCCCCCGTCCCGACGCCGCTCCATCCCCTGCTCGCCGTGGTATGACGGTGACGTCGGCGGCGTCGAAAATTCTTCCCAAATTGCATTCCGGCCGAACTGGAGCAACGCAGGCCGTCCCTCTGTCTCTCTCGCACCCATCGGAACGCGCCTTGAGCGCGAGAGAGAGGGATCGAGCATCTATATTTCGGGATCGGCCTGTAGGCAGGAGGCTTGCAGCCGTTGTCTTTGAACCGCGCGTTTCCTAGCAGAGCAGAGTTTGACCACACCGAGTGTTGAATTGCATCGACGATGTGGAAACCAATGTGACCTGAATGCGACCCTAGTCGTGCCGCGACCAAGGCTCACCCGCAGGGCTGCCGGCACACTGATTCCGAGAGTCGTTTTCGACGCTGTCTCTCTCACCTGCGCGAAACGCCCTTCGAGTGCGCGCGCGCGAGAGAGCAAACGACTGTCTGGAGCGAGCGCTGGAGCTGGAGCGCCCTGCTGGGCCCCGCCCCGCCCCGCCCCGCCCCGCCCCGCCCCGCCCGCCCCCGCGCGGCCACGGAGCGCCTCGCCTTGCCAGCCTCTGCTCGCGGCTTTTGCGGCGGCCTGGCCGGCCCCGCCGCTCCACCGTCAGTCGGGCGCGGGGAGAGGCGAGCGGCGTTGCCTCGGAGAGACGCACGCGGAGAGACTCTCGGAGAGAGCCGCGAGCAGCACGACTGGCCGAGCCAGAACCGCGGTCCGTCGGCGCCAGCGTGTGCGTGCGCGTGCGGTATAGGCGTGCTTGACGTACTTGAAGTACTTGACGCGCTCTGTGACTGTGGTGTTTTGGTGCAGTTTCCGCCGAGTGGATAGTCGAACCCGGGTTCTACTTTACCGGGCCTTTGGCAGTGGGGGGGTTTGTTGTCCCGCGGTGGTCACGCTGACCACCACACTGCAGGACGAGAGTGCCGTGCGTGCCCTCGAGGGAAGTCCCACCGCACGTGTCGACCCAAGACGATAGGGCTGTGATGCGAACTGGACCGGCGGATCAAGATTTACCTGTTGCATTCGTGCGTCGTGCGTTTAGAAAATTTGATGGTGAATTTTCACCTTTCCAAATTACACGACGCGTTTCCGCTCGTTCGGCTAGTTCCGTAGGCATTTGGAGCGGCGGCCCCGCCGGACACTTAGTGACTTTCCTTTCGCTCGTGGCGACGGGCCTGGCGTGGCCTGGCCTGGCCGCTGGGCTCGGCCAAGGCTTTGGGAACAGAACGCTTTTCCAAGGCGAGACCTGTCCCTTTCACTCTGTCCCCCTAGTTGCCGCCCTTCCCGAGGCCCCCGAAACGTATCGTGCTCTATTCATTGTCGACGAGCGCGCAAATTCAATTTTTGGCAAGCGCAGGTTCGGTTCAGCGCTGGCGGGAAACGTCAGTACGACACCTCTCTTTTTGTCCGCCTTTTCAAGGGCAGCTTGTTTTTTTTTTTTTTTTTGCGTGTCATTTGGCGCGAGTCGCGTCGCAGTCCTGATGACTGGCTATCTCGCCCACCGGGTAATATTGCATTGCTTGCCGCGGCGCCATTTATGGTGTAGTGGCTTAGCCCGTCGAGGCTGGACACTATCAGTGCCATCCTCGCTCGTAAGCGCCATTACGACGAGATTCGCACTCGGTTTTGTCAACTCAGTGCCCCCCGTTCATAAACACTCACTACACGCGAAAATAAACTATGTATCTCACTCTTCCCTTCCGTTACACGGCAAGCGCGAAACGGGCGAGTGTATCTCCGCGTCGCTTTTGTTATTGACTCGTCTTGTCGTGACCGACCGGCCGGCCGGCTGTCTATCGGTCTGTCTGGCGTCGTCGTCCCGGGGCGACTTCTGTTAGTACCGCGGCTCGTGTTTGGTCAGAAGTTAAGACTTTGCCCGTCGTGTCCAGTGCGCGCGTACCTACAGTGTGGGGGTAGTACACTCTGAGCGACATTTTTTCAGGGCAGTACACAAGTTTCTAATTTTTTTGACCAGAGAGTTTTTGGAATGACTACTCGTGCAAAATTTGTATTCCCTACAATTTTTGGGGTTTCCTCCCGCAATTTTTATTGTTTTTTTTCATGGTTTTTTTTACAACTTTTTTT